AGGGGACACACGTTGGATTTCTGGCTCAGGAAGATTCCATGGGCCTCAGAGCAACTAATCCCATGGTCCACAACTACTGAGCCACACTCTAGAGCCCATGAACCCCAGCTACTAAAGTCCGTGTGCCTGGAGCCTGTGCTCTGCAACAAGAGACGTCAATGCAATGAGAAGCCCGTGCACTGCAACAAAGAGTAGCTCCTACTTCCCACAACTAAGACCGGCGCAGCCAAAAATAAACAAATACATAAAATTATTTAAAAAATCCCACAACATTGTAAGTCAACTACAGCCCAATATAAAATAAAAAAAAATTAAAGTACATCAATAAGAACAGTTGTTGAACAGTACATATGAGATGAGGATGACAAAGGAGGAAAGTGGATGGCTCTGGGAGAATATAAAAGAATTTAACTCCTCCCTGAGAAAGCAATGAAGGCTTCTAGAGAAGAGAAATTTGAAGATACAAAGAACACTTAGAAGTTGTTCATCAGTTACTGTGACAAAGATAAAATGCATGAGGGAAGAAAAGATGTAGTATCAGGAAGGCACATGGTAATTTTTGAAAAAGTTCAGTGTGATGAGAACAGAAAGCAGAGGGGGAAAGAGTGGGAAAGGGGGTTCTGCTGATGCTGGCAGAAGCCTGGGGTATACCCCACAGCTGGTTCTTCAGCCCAAATATCCAGGATGCTCTAGTTCCCTGACTCCTCAGCTTCTTCAGGATCTCACTTTCCTTGGCTATATTCAAGGAGTGTTTTCTGCACACCCCCACTATGTTACACTCGGCACTGCACTAGAGGCTGTGGGACCAGGGAAGTGAGGCAAGAGCAAGGAAGGGTCTGCAGCCGGCCTTTGGGGAGCCTGTGATCACACAGAGACGGCAGTGTCTACTGAGGGTGATGGAGCCAAGAGCGTGCCCAGGTGGGAAAGACCATGGGGGGAGGGCAGAAAAGGAGGGCTCTGACATAAATCAATACTCATCCACCCATTCACTCATATGCTCTGTTTAGATTATGTAAACATAATTCATACAAATAAAGAGCACTTGGCTGTATAAAGCATCCCTAAATAGAAGTTGGGCATTTTGCTAAGTCTGGGGCGCTGATTTGAGGAGAAGCACTGGTCCTGCTTTGAGAGCTGAGCAGGCGGTCCTGTGTCCCTCTGCTCTTGCACACCCCCACTCTCTGCTTCAAACCACTCAGGGTAGAAGAGCAACTCTTCAACTCTTGAGTGGTCAGTTTAGCCAAAGTTAAAAAAAAAAAAAACACAGATAACAGTTCCCGAAGAAAAGGAAATAATGGTACACGAAGGAAAGTTTAGCATCCAGGCCCTTCCATCAGTGATGAAGGGATTGCTAGGGCTAAGTTACAATGAAGGCCTACATTTTGCTTTTATTTATTCTGTTCCTGACAGGCCCTATATAGTAAAAAAAAAAAAAAAAAATTTTGTTTTTATTCCTTAAAATGTTAGTGTACAAATTTAGGCAGCTCTGCAGGGGTGTAACCACAGTGTTGAGGGGGGTTAATGCAATGCAATCTGGCTGAACAGCAAGAAGTAAGGGGGGGGGATTCTTAGACTCCATTTCCAGTGAGGCATTCTCCTTACTGGGATGACTCAGACCCATAGAGATCCACAGGAGGGGGACCCACTTGGGACAATTACACTGAATCATGTGCCTTCCCTGAACAATTTGCTCTGTAGGGAAGTCCCCAACTTGTGCCTGCCATCCTTCACAGAAGCCTTATTTATTTTCTTTGCCTCAGTGGGAGAGGAAATGGATGCTATCACTACTGGACCCAGAAAGAGCAATATATGCTAGATGCATGCATTTTCTAAACATCTTTTAAAGCAGGATTTTTTTCTCTTTAAAAAGTCAGAAGACTGCTTGGAATGTGTATATTGCTATATTGCTGCCAAAAAGAAATAAACAAACTGGGATGAAGTAACTCAATGAGAATTAAGTGAGGGCTAAGGCTTTTCCTGGGTGTGGGTGTAGAAGAGAGATGGGTAGGCAGAGGTGGGTGACTGCTGCCTCCAAGATGAAACCTCTGATATATAATGGATCGCTGTCTATCTTGTGACCAGAAATTAATTGATGTACATGCAACATTCATTTAATTTGCCTAATTACAATTTGTTTACACGCTCACCACAGGGCTTTGTTACAAATGATTGCCCAGCCCCATCCACTGGGGGAGGGTGGAAAGGCACTCTGCAGTGGTTTGGGGGGAAATTTGCATATAACATCTCCCCCACCAAATTATTAATTGGCTCCTGGGGAGGCACTGGTTACTGAGGCTCTGCTTAATTACTGTTCATGTCAAGGTTAAACATCTTCCCGCTCTAAGTGTGGGTACCTGCTAGCCGTCTGCACAGGCTGCTGTCAGCATCTTCGTGTTTACATTCACAGCTAGGTAGCGGGTGTCAACACATCCTTTCCATGAAAACAACAGAGAATGCTGTCGTGACACTGTTTAGCTGATTGCTGAAGGCTGTGTGGGTAGAATGTAAACAAGGGGAGGCACTGTCCTATGCAGAGCCGCCCACACTTCGTTGGAGATGGGGGAACCCCACAGAGCCCCTTCCCTCCCAAAGGTACAATACTGCTGCCCAAGGTTGGAAAATATTCCTAGCTCATCTCCCGGCATCTCCTAAAATTCGTAAAGCACTCTGGATTTCTTGCAAATGAAATGATGCCTTCTCCCAGCCCCACCAACCTACCAGATTAAAAGATCCTGTCTGGGAACATTAAGATAAAATGTGTTCTGTTACTTTGTGTAGCTAATTTGTTGCAGTCCTCGACTCAAAGGCACTGACCTCATTTAAAGACCAATCTCTGAGAGCAGAATAATTCCTGTTAAACTGCCTGCCAGTGCTGTAAGCATCTGGACCTTGGTGCTCCTGATGTAACTTTCAGGTTCATTAGGGCTTCCCTCGTGGCTCAGCTGGTAAAGAATCCGCCTGCAATACGGAGACCTGGGTTTGATCCCTAGGTTGGGAAGATCCCCTGGAGAAGGGAAAGGCTACCCACTCCAGTATTCTAAACTAGAGAAGTCCATGGGATCGCAAAGAGTCCAACACGACTGAGCAACTTTCACTTCACTTCACTTCAGGTTCATTTCAGCTATTCCTATGTCCCTTGGGACCTCATATGTAACTTGCTTGGATGGGAAAGGTAAGCCAATTAGGTAAGCCAAGAAGGCTTTTGGGCATTCTCCACTTCTCTCCAAGGCTAATCAATACACATTGCACACACTAAGCTATCTGCAATTGGAAAACATTTCATTTTTCATAGCTTATGTTCCATGTAGCTTGCTAGTAAAAAGGAGGGAAAGATGCAGGGTACAACTTCTGAAAGAATGACTCAGCCCAAAGATAAATATAAACAGATTAGAATCAAATGGGTCCATGATGGCAGCGAAGTCAGCTTTAACTAGACCTTGATCCTCAATCAGCAAGCTAAATGACACAACCAGAGTCACCAGAACAGTTCCAAGGCATCAAAAGACCGAAAGGTGGGCAGCGGTCCAACTCCTGGAAATCTCCACCCCTTCCCCCACATGGTTGAAATAATCCTCCCACTCACTGTTGTTCATTGTTCAGTCACTCAGTTCTGTCCAACTCTTTATGATCCCATGGACTGCAGTACACCAGGTTTCCCTGTCCTTTACCATCTCCCGGAGCTTGCTCAAACTCATGTCCTTTGAGTCGGTGAAGATATCCAACCATGTCATCCTCTGTCATGGGCTTCTCCCGCCTTCTATCTTTCCCAGCACCAGGGTCTTTTCTAACGAGTCGGCTTTTCACATCAGGTGGCCAAAGTACTGGAGCTTCAGCACCAGTCCTTCCAATGAATATTCAGGACTGATTTCCTTTAGAATTGACTAGTTTGATCTCCTTGCAGTCCAAGGGGGCTCTCAAAAGTATTCTCCAACACCACAGTTCAGAAGCGTCAGTTCTTCGGCGTTCAGCCTTCTTTATGGTCCAGCTCTCACATCCATACATGACTACACATAGCTTTAACTATATGGACCTTTGTCAGCAAAGCGATGTCTCTCCTTTTTAATACGCTGTCTAGGTTTGTCACAGCTTTTCTTCCAAGGAGCAAACGTTTTAATTTCATGGTTTACCCAGCCCATAAAAGCTAACCACGCCACATTTTCCAGGCTGCCAGACTCGCCCTCTAGGACAGCCCACACTCTGTCTGTGGAGTGTGTTTCTCTCTAAACCCGCTTATTACCTATTACTTTGTCTCTCACTGAATTCTTTCTGTGATGAGACATCAAGAACCTGAGCTTCATTAGGTCCTGAAACCAGGTACCATGGGTTTTGACTGGGTTTGAGTCCCAGTCACACGGGTTCAAGTCCCAAGCAGGTTTTTTGCCAGGTTACAGTCCCAGAGACATGGGTTAGAGTCATAAACAAAGCCCTAATCTAAGGCAAGTAGTTTCACTAGGAAGATGCCAATTTTAACAGCCAGAAGAGGCAGGAAGAAAGAAATTAACCTAAAAGTACAGTTTCAAAATAAATCAAGAAGTGATCTAGAGCAGGGGTCAGCAACATACAGCATACAAAGCAAACCTAGCCTGCTGCCTGTTTTTGTAAATAAGGTGTTTGTTTTTTTTTTTGAATATGATCACAGTCAATCATTTATGTGTTGTCTGCTATGGACTGAATTGTATTTCCCCATTCTCACGCTCTCTCGTGTCAAATCACATGTTGAAGTCCTAACCTCTGACTCTATTGGAGACAGGGCTTTGAGAAGGTAAGTAAGGTTAAATGAGGTCCTAAGAGTAGAGTTCTGATCTGATAGGATGGGCGGCTTTATAAGAAGAGGAAGAGATTTCTCTCTTTTCAGTACATGCACAGGGGAAGGTCATGTGAGGGCATAGTCATCTACAAGCCAGGAAGAGAGGTTACGCCAGAATCTGACCACACCAGCACCCTGACTTCAGATTGTTGCTGTTTACTTGCTAAGTCGTGTCCAGCTCTTCTGTGACCCCATGGACTGTAGCCCACCAGGCTCCTCTGACCATGGGATTTGCCAGCAAGAATACTGGAGTGGGTTGCCATTTCCTTCTTCAGGGGATCTTCCCAACCCAGCAACTGAAATTGCACCTCTTGCACTGGCAGGTTAGTTCTTTACCATAGAGCCTCTAGGGAAGTCTAATCTCAGAATGCCAGCCTCCAAACCTGTGAGAAAATAAATGCTTGTTGGTTAAGCCTCTCTCTCTGCTGTTTTTGTTATGTCAGCCTGAGCAGACTCAGACCTTGTCTATGGCTGTTTGTGGGCTACGGCAGAATTGAGCGGTTGGATAGAAACTGTATGATGTACAAAGCCCCCCAAATTTTACTGTCTGGTGCTTTACAGAAAAGGCTGCTGATCCTGGAGTAGTCTGACCACCTTTCCAAACCATATTTAGAGTCTAAAACTATACATAAGTAAAGAAGAAAAGCCCTCAAGACATATTAGAAGCAGGCAGTTAAATAGGTGATTAATATAAAGTAACACATATAAAGATTTAGATTAGAAAAAAAGTTGATACACAGGAAATATACACAAAACTCAATTACTGACAGAGATTAATTGAAGGAGTGGAAGAGTACAGGGAACGTGAAATCTGGCCTAGACTTTTGTATCAGTGGTTAATTTTAAATGATTACTTTTAGAGTTACAAACTGAAATGTCTACCTCAGACAGGCAGGTAGTGTGTGGGCACCTGACTCGGAAGAGCACATCCTCTGAGGAAACGGGCAGACGTGGCTCAGCGCGAGCTGATTTTCAGTCCTGATTCCATTAAGAAAAGGAGAAACTCCTTCTTGTAGGAAATCTTCCAATTTTTAAAAATAAAAAGCACTCAGTCCTACAGAGCAATGTGAGTAAAATCCTTGACTGATGAGTGACTAGTTTATAATCTTTCTGTTGTGATATATATTATATAAAAGATGTTTAAGAAGAAGCAAAAGCAAAAGAAAATATTTCCTTTGCTGATTTCCTTAATAATCACTGAGGGCATCACTTCTAGAGAGTCTAGCGTTTTAGATAGATTCAGTTGCAATATTTTCCCTATGCTTCCAAATTTAGCCAATGGATTAACCACTGGGGTGTCACATAAACCCCATCAATCCCTCATTTCTGGCAAATGTAATGTGGCGTGATGCATGAAATGTTGATTGACGTGCTTTAATTGCACTTATTTGCTTTCAGTGGACAAACAGTATATACATTTATGTGTATACACACATACACATACATGTGTGTGTATATATATGCACATTTTTTTTTAAAGTAAGAGCAAATAAGGTAGCAAGATCACATTCTAGGGACTCTTTAGCTCCCAACATCAATATGCCTGCAGAAAATCCTAAATGATATGAAATGAGGACATCACTTATGGTCTGATTGGAGCAAGAACTTGTTAAAGCAAAATTGTCACCATCTCTGGCACATCAAACTTTTTAATGTAGTTGGCTTGCTTTAAAATCACCATTTTTCAAGAGAAATAATGGGTAGAGAGCAGAAAAAAGTTGTCTGAGCCTAAACTGATAATGAAAGACCACTCAGAGGATCCTAGGCTTTGTGAGGACTTGAGGTTCTATACTTTGTGACCACCCTGTTTCTTTAGGAGGTCAAGCTATAGACAATATCTGACAGAGGTGCCATATATACTAGAAACCCTCTCATCAGAGGGATCAGGACTGGTATTGGTTATTAAAAAAAAAAAGCCAGCTAAATTGGGGAAACATATTTTTAAAAGATTCATACATCAATCCTGAATATTCATTGCATTGCAAGGACTGATGTTGAAACTGTAACTACTTTAGCTAATGTGAAGACCTAATTCACTGGGAAAGACCCTGAACCTGCGAAAGACTGAGGGACAGAGGATGAGATGGTTGGATGGCATCACCGACTCAATGGACATGAGTCTGAGCAAATGCTGGGAGATAGTAAAGGAGAGGGAAGCCTGGCATGCTGCAGTCTCAAAGAATAGGACAGGACTTAGCAACTGAATATCAATATACATATCTTAAACATTTCATTTTTAATGTAAAATTATAAATGAACATTAACTTGCCAATTCAGTTTTTTGATAGAGGGTCAAAATCTTGTCTTTGAAAATGCATCCTCTGATTAGAATTCCTCAATATCTTTCTTGCATTAATCACAGACACAATCCTTCATGCAGTTTCCAGCCTGCTTTCCACAAAGTAGAGTGAAGTATTAATATATAGGCAAAGCCAGCGAACACTTGAGCACCTCCAGACTGACTATTTCCTCTAACTGATCATACTTGTCTCATCACTAATTTAACAGCAATTCTTAAAGAGAATGTATTTTTATTAAGTCTTCTCAAAGTTTCAGCTTTTGTCCTCATAGAAACCACAACTTTCTTTATTCTCACATTGATATTTCATTGCTCTACATAAGATTTAATTAAAATAGCAACGATGACTGGGATATGCAGGTTTGGGAACAAATACAGCTAATTCCTGGTAGGGATTCAACTCAACTGGTGAGAGAGGATGTGGGAGGTTATATCTGAAAGAAACCTACTGCAGGCAGACAGAGATATTATGGGTTCAGTTCTAAGCCACCCCGATAAAGCAAATATGGCAACAGAATGAGTCAAATGAACTTTATTGTTTCCCAATGCATATAAAACTTATGCTTACACTATACTATGGTTTATTAAGTGTTTAGCAGCAGTATATCTTTTAAAAAATGTGTTTAAAAATACTTTATTGCTAAAAGATGCAGACTATCATCTAAGCCTTCAGCAAGGCATAGTTTTTTTTTGCCATAGTAACATCAAAGATCACTGATCACAGAACACCATATCAAACACAGTCATAATGAAATACTGTGAGGATTACCAAAATGTGACACAGACATGAAGTGGACAAGTGCTGCTGGAAAAATGGCACCAACAGACTTGCTCACAAGGCAGGGTTGTTACAAATCTCTCATTTGTAAAACAAAACAAAAACAAACAAAACCAACAACAATTTAGTATCTGCAAAATGAAATAAACTGAAGCCCAATAAACAAGGTGTGCCTGTACCTCAGAGTGTTCGGTGAGATCAGTGTTCACGTTTTACAAGAGAAAACACAGTTCTGCTTAACTCTGTATATTGTTTAAAGGGAGGTGCTTACAGAAGAAAATGGTATACAAAAGGCAGAAAGCCCCTTACCAGCATGTGATAGCTGAGATGGTTATATACGTGCATTAGAATGATTCCTGGTTGTACACACAAAAGACACTCCATAAATAAATGGGCACCTCTCCTTTGGTCCCTAGGCCAGCTGTTTACCCCATACCTCCAGCGGGAAAGGCACAGACTCTTCAGACGCAACCTGCTCCCAACGGCGTGTCTTACCGCCTCCCAAACCAGCTCCTCCTGTTTGACACCGTCACTCACCCAGGACCTCCGCCAGCTCAGAACGGTCAGCCTGGAGTCTCTTCTGCACCCCTTAGACTCAGCTGGACATGAAGCCATGTCTGTTTTGCCTTTCATGTTTCTAATTTTGTCTTCTCCCCAGTATGATCCCTGCTCTGGCCTGCAGACTCGTTCAATGCTGCCCCTTGTCTCAGTTCTGTCCTCCACTTACCTGGCCATGTATTCTTTCCAAAGTGCACTTCTGACCATCTCACTCCCTTTAGGAAATCCTCTGAAGGCTGGCCACTGCCACCAACATAACACTGAAACTCTTCAGCCTGGCCTTCACAACCCAGCCTTTCTGCCAACATTTTCAATGACATGTCTGAACACGCACACATACTTCATTCCGACCAGACTAAAGCAATCCCCAGACACATAAGGCTATTACACATGTTCACTTGTTTCACCTCCTCGGTCTGTAACTCCCCTCCTCACCACATCCCCGGGCTAACTGCTCATCCATTAGGACTCAGCTCATGGGTCATTTCATTCCATGTGAGGGTTATCTGAGCCCTCCTCAGTTGGGATGCTCTTTGCTGTACCCCTTAAAATGCTATTAAACTACTTATTGAATCTAGTTATGACTGCTGACTTTGTTGTCTGCCTCTCTATTAGACTGATGTTTCTCAAAGACATAGAACATATTTGTTATCCTCTGTAAGAGGACAGAGGCTGAAACACGTTGAACTCTATAGTAATTTGTTCAATGAATGAATGGATGGATGGATGGATGGATGAGGGGAAAAGTCATAAAAAGAGATTAGACTATATCTTACCCACCGGAGTACTCTATTTAATAGTGAAACCATATACAACTGAGCAATGTTATCAAAGAGTAATTAATTCTAAAGTACCAGAGCTGCTAATGTTTCTTAAAAGGCAGAGGGAAGAGAATCCTAGGTCCAGGGGATTTTACCTGTATGTTAAGCAAGAGCACCTGAATTACTACTACGTTAATGATAAAATAGTGTTGTGGTTTTAGTATGGGGAATTTGAGGTTTATGCTTAATATATGCATATATAAATACATATAGTAGAGCTTTTATCAGATAAAGATGTGGCCAACTGGTAGCTATTGTATGGTTATTAGTATCTCTTTTAATTAGTCACAAAGATTCTGCATAGATATATGTGGTATACGTACATATAATTCTGCATAATTATTATTGTAGATAATTATACATATTCTGTAATATACAGAACAATTGCATATATATACAGATAATTACATATAACATATATAGCTATACATTTTATATACATTTCTGTGTGTATATATATATATACACATAGATACATATGTCATTGCTATTTTAAAGCCATCATTATAAGGCTTAATAGCCTTGAGACATAAACATCAGGTATAAAAAAAGTTGGTTTATCTTCCTGTGGATAGTTTTGTTGAAATGACAGAATTTTTTTTTTTTTTGAAATGACAGAATTTATATGAGAATGCTATAAGTAATCATATAACTATAATTCCAATGCAAACTGTAATGGTTGAGAATAAGAAATGGAACAAAAGTGCCACTGTGACTAAAAGCTGTCATCTAGCTATTTTTACATTTTAATGTGCATAAGAATCAAATGAAGATCTTGTTAAAATGCAGATTCTGATTCAGGAGGGCCGGGATGGAGTCTGAGACTCTGCATTTTAATAAGCAAACAAGTGATGCCGATGCAGCTAGACCACAGACCACACTTGAGAAGGAACAGTGTACTCCAATCATGACTAATCATAAGGATTCCCGGGGATATTTTTTAAGATGTGGATTTCAGGAGGGTGTGGAGAAAAAGGACCCCTCCTACACTGTTGGTAGAAATGTAAATTGGCACAGTCACTATGGAAAATAATACGGAGGTTCCTCAAAAAACTAAAAATGGGACTTTCCTGGTGGTACAGTGGATAGGAGTCTGCCTGCCAATGCAGGGGACACGTGTTCAATCCCCAGGGAAGCTCCCACATGCTGTAGAGTAACAAAGCCATGACTCTAGAGCAGGTCCTCTACACCAAGAGAAGCCCATGCACCGCAACTAGAGAAAGCCCACTTGCAGCAGAGAAGACTCAGCACAGCCAAAAGTAAATAAATAAATAAACTAAAAATAATGTCATCATATGATCCGGAAATCCCACTCCTAGGCATGTATCAGGACAGAACTATAATTCAGAAAGATAGATGCACCCTCTGTGTTCATAACAGCCAAGACTTGGAAGTCAAGACTTGGAAACAACCTAAACGTCCCCTGACATGAATGGATAGATACGGTACTTGGATTCAGTGGGACACTACTCAGCCATATGAAATAATGCCATCTGCAGCCTCATGGATGGACCTATAGAACATCATATTAAGTGAAATAAGTCAGAATGAGGAAAGACAAATACCATATGAGATCACCTATCTGTAGAATCTAAAATATGACACAAATGAACTTATCCATGAAGCAGACTCACAGCCACAGAGAACAAACTTGTGGTTATCAAAGGGGAAGGAGGGAGGGAAGGGATGGATTGGGAGTTTGGGATTAGCAGATGCCCACTATTCACTACTATACAGAATGGATAAACAGCAAGGTCCTACAGTACAGCACAGGGAACTACATATTCTGTGATAAACCTAACAGAATAGAGTATAGAAAAGAGTGTATATATAAATATATGTATAATTGAAATCACTTTGCTCTCAGGAGAAATTGACACAACATTGTAAATCAACTGTACTTCAGTAAGATAAATTAAAAAAAAATTCAAAAGCATTAAAAAATAGATTTGTGTTTTAAAAAAGACATGGATTCCTGGACTCTCACCAATTATAAACATATACATGCACATGTTCATGGAACAGAACTTTGAGGCGAGGGGACTGGGAAGGTAACTAATATGTAACATGTAAATACATATTCAACATATTTTCTATGGAAACTCACTGATACTCACTATAAATCCCTGAATTTCTGAGAGGTTTACTCAGAGGCATCTTAAAAACTTCAGATATGTGAATAAAATATCCAAACCAAAGTCACTGAATAACTCCTGCTTTTCATCTTTTAGTTCTATGTATGTTTGTTAACATTGTGCCATCCCTAATTATTTGATGAAACAGAGAAGTTCTTTAAATTTTGAAGATTTCTGGATAAATTCCTGGCTAAAATTCTATTTTAGAAATACTCAAAATTTTCTTTTTTGTCCCAAACATTTAGCTTGGATATGAAGATGAGATCTGATACAGTATGATTATTTTGGTTTTAAAAGAAATCGCCCCCCCTTTTTCAACAGTATACCCAATTAGTTGGATTCTTCCTTCTGCCAGCGATGATGACAGTGATGGTGATGAAAAGAGCAAATACTTAAGCAGCATTTCCTAGATGCCAGCCACCTTTTAAGTGCTTTACATCAACGAATTCTTTCCACAAGCTGGTGCATGGTATCATTATTATCCCCATTTTATAGATGACAAGACTGAGACATGAAGGACTTGGCCTAAAATCACAAAACTCATTAACAATGAGGACACAATTTCATTTCAGACAGACTAAATCTGTGGTTTGAGCTTTTGACAATTACAATTTACTGTCATCATCAATACCTGAGGCTAAGATTTCTCGTGTCTAAACTCTATTGCATTGTCATTTCAAGTGTCTACTGATATCCCAGCCCTTACTACCTTCCCTACTGTGCTCATAAACATGAAATGGGGCAGGACAACCATTTTCAACTTGTATATGTGCTTTGCATGACTCCAGGAGACATCATTCCTATTAGCAGTCCTGATAGATCTGTGTAGTTCATACCATTTTTTAAGAAGACGGCAGTAAAGTGTGTTGAGTTGTTTTTTGCATAACCTGTGGAGCTAGTAGTGGGGACTGAATTTTGGCATCTCTGATTATATAGCTGTGGGAGCCTGGGAAACATGGCTCCCACAGAATACTTTACACCTACCCCAATCAAAAGAGATGGAGTCTTATCTCTCCATCACCTGAATTTGGAATATTTTGGGACTTGGTTTGACCAACAGATTGTGGTAGAAGTGATGTCCAAGTTCAGGAGTGTAGGTTTCTGCCTTTGCCCTTTTGGAGTCCTTCTTTAAAAGCGGTTCAGTTCAACCTACTGGAGGATAAGAGGCCCTGTAAAGGAGAAGTGAAATGTCCCAGTTGACACCTCCAGGGGACTGGAGAGAATGGCCCTCCATCCTGTCACAGCCAGTTCCAAGCTCCCCCACCAGCTGAATGCAGCCGAATGAGTGACCTCAGAAGGGCCCACCCAACCTACAGAATCAAGGGAACTAATCAACTATGGTTTCAAGCTACTAAATTTTGGGGTTGGTTGTTAGGTAGCAATACATACATTATATGATCCTTTGAAAGATAAAATTTAAGGCTATATTACTATCTTTCTTAAATAATGATATTTGGAGAATTTTTCAATGTAATAGAGGCTTTTTGAGGCAACAGTTTTGTATAAAAGTTGACCAAATTGGAGATTTAAAGGGACACATTTAGTGATTTCCAAAATCACATATTTTCATTATTAGCAATAACTAAGAACACCATTAACTAAGTGCATTGCTACAAATTCAGAGTGTTATCATTGATTTTATAATCTAAGATTTACAGCCAATGGATAGAAAAATTACTTCTTACAGCAAATTTGATAGTGTGTTAAAAACAATATAAATTCCTTCTTTTAGAAAAGATAATACAATATCAGAAATATGAATCTCCACTTAAGAAGAAATTCTACTTCTAATTAAAGGAAACTATGAAGCAATCTCCATGGGTCTAAAAATTACTTTTTTTTTCAGCTACTGTGTTATAAATCCCTCCTCTGTGTTGGTAAGGAAATCTGTCAAGCTGTTTTACCACAAAGGTTGTCTGTACCACCTAAATTGTATATCTTTATTTTTTTTTCACCATCAAAAGTCTGTAAAATATGTTTCAGATAATTGTAGAAAACCATAAAACCTGCCTGGGGTAGGAAATAGCAATAGTTCACAAATTATATTAACTGTTAATCCATTCAGACATAACTGAACTGCAAATGAACTTCCTTTTATTTTTTTTCCTGCCTCAAACTAAGACTCATGTTATCCAACACGTTATGATTTCCCATAATGGAACCACAGGCTTTCTTTCGTCTTTTCTCTGCAGTGGTCACAAAAATAAGAGCTTCTGAGGGCCTCAAGATCTTACATGCAACAAAGCACTGTTTACTAGTCTGAGAGGTGTGGAAATCTAACTCCATCTGTAAACAGACTAATACCTGCGTGATGCAACCGAACATGGTGACTCTGTGGGACTATCATGTTATGCCAGTTACACAACTGCCAGTAGTTCCATAGAAGAGCAAGAAGATTGGTGGAAAGGTCATACATCTCCGTT